CCGCAGCCCCCCGGCCCCGCACGCTGCCGGTTCGGGAGCCCTTATCCGGCAGAGAAAAGCTCTCCCTGCCCGGCTCCCCCTCCCACAAATGCATCCCAGAGGGAAGAGGGACCCGCAGTGTCCCGGGGGTGCTGGGGGCTCCTCGGGGCTGCGTGTGCCCGGCTCCTGCTGCAGCTCTGCAGGCTCCTCGGTGCCGTGGGTTGGGGGTCCAGGAGCAGAGACTGCCGGGCAGAGAAGGGGCCTAGGCTGGCCCTGCGGGGCTTAGAGCATTAGGCAGGAGGTAGCCTGGAGAAACCAGCCCCGGGGTGGCAGATGCACAAGGCTGCATGGGGTGAGCTGGCTGTGCTCCCCTCTCCTCTCCTGCCTTCCCCCTTGTCCCGCTCCTTGCCTTGCCCTGGAGTGGGGCCAAGCAGCACTTGGTGTTTCCAGATCAGCTGGTTATCAGCTGGCTGGTCCCATCACTTGCATCACTTTGGGCCGCCAAGATCTGGGACAAAACCAGCATGGTGAGTGGGGCTGGGGCTGGGGAGGGGGGCTGCAGGGAGCCCCCCCCAGCCTGGCCATTCCCCACTCGTGAGCATTGCAGCCGCACCATGGGGTGCTCAGCAAGATGGTGCTGAGCAGATGCTTTCTGTAGCTCCCCCCCCACTGCATCAGTTCATGTCCCCACTGCTGCCTCTTCCAGCAGCTCCTGCCAATTGCTACAAGCCTCTGAATCTGGCCTATTTATTTACAGAACGGGCTCTCTGCTTCCCAAGGGATTAGCTGCTGCTGCCGCATCATATGGGGATCTGTGTTCCTTACCTGATTTCACTGGTCAATGGGTGATTCTGACTTCATTAAGGAGAAGCAGGTGCCCAGCACGCTACGGGCACAGCCACCTGAGGCAAGGTCTGGGGCTGGATGTCAGAGCCCTCGTCCCACCCAAGTCATGCCATGACTGCAGGCACCCTGTGTCCCTGTAGCAGCCCTGCCTTCCCCTTGTCCCTGGTTTGGGTTGGAGGGACCTTGAAGATCATCCAGTCCCAACCCCCCTGCCATGGGCAGGGACACCTCCCACCAGCCCAGGCTGCTCCCAGCTCCATCCAACCTGCACTTTTACACTTTCGCCAAGATCTGGGACAAAACCAGCATGGTGAGTGGGGCTGGGGCTGGGGAGGGGGCCTGCAGGGAGCCCCTCCCAGCCTGGCCATTCCCCACTCGTGAGCATTGCAGCAGCACCATGGGGTGCTCAGCAAGATGGTGCTGAGCAGATGCTTTCTGTAGCTCCCCCCCCACTGCATCAGTTCATGTCCCCACTGCTGCCTCTTCCAGCAGCTCCTGCCAATTGCTACAAGCCTCTGAATCTGGCCTATTTATTTACAGAACGGGCTCTCTGCTTCCCAAGGGATTAGCTGCTGCTGCCGCATCATATGGGGATCTGTGTTCCTTACCTGATTTCACTGGTCAATGGGTGATTCTGACTTCATTAAGGAGAAGCAGGTGCCCAGCACGCTACGGGCACAGCCACCTGAGGCAAGGTCTGGGGCTGGATGTCAGAGCCCTCGTCCCACCCAAGTCATGCCATGACTGCAGGCACCCTGTGTCCCTGTAGCAGCCCTGCCTTCCCCTTGTCCCTGGTTTGGGTTGGAGGGACCTTGAAGATCATCCAGTCCCAACCCCCCTGCCATGGGCAGGGACACCTCCCACCAGCCCAGGCTGCTCCCAGCCCCATCCAGCCTGCCCTTCAACACTTTCAGGGATGGGGCAGCCACAGCTTCTCTAGGAAGCCTGACCCAGTGTTTCACCACCCTCACAGCAAATAATTTCTTCTTAGTATCTAATCTAAATCTACCTTCTTCCAGTTTAAAGCCATGGAGAAGAAACGGAGAAAGGCCTCTCCCTGTGCCCACAGTGTGCCCTGCCAGGGACGGACCCCAGGCACACAGCATCCTGCTGTCCATGGGCTGTGGGAGGCAGGCAGGGAGCACAGCCCAGGTGTGCAGAGGATGCAGTTCACATCTGTCCCCATACAGGTGGCCCCAGGGTCTCAACTGATGCCCGGTCCCTTGGCAGCTTTCTCATCACACTGGGGCCATTTCCCTGCCCTCACCTCCTCTCTCTCTTGCCTTTGTCCCGCAGTTCCCACGTGCCCAGGACCCGTGGCACCACGGCCATGTCTCTGCCGGGGAGCAGACGCTCGTCCACGGGATCACGAAGGTGAATATGCTTCAGCCTCCGGGACCGGGCACCGGCGCCTGCCCGGGGCTCCTCCCGGCTGGAGGGAACCATCCTAACCTACACCAGCAGCTGCCACTTGGCAGCACAGCCCCCCAGCCAGGCTTTCAGGGGGTTTCGCATGTCGCTGCCCACCGCACAGCACTTCCCCCCCTGTGCACGCAGCCCCCCGAGCACTGCACCCCTCGTCCCTCTCTGTCCGTCTGCCACAGCCGGGACCGGCCCCTCTGTCCGTCTGGGCAAAGGCAGGTGATGGTGGGGGGCCCTGGAGAGCTCACAGGTTGGGGTGATGAAACTGGGAGGTGTGTGAGCCCTTGGAAATGCTCTTCTTGAACTGCAGTGGTGAAGGGGCAGGGGGGAAAAGAGGAAGGAAAAAAACCAAACATTTATTCCCCCAAAAATGTCTCCATGGCCTGGGCTGCTGTTGTTTGAGAACTGGCAGCCACCGGGCAGAGAGGAAAGGCAGATCTGCCCATGTCTGGGCAGCGTGTGGCTCGAGGTCCCGAGGGGCTCCTGGTCCTCAGGGTGCAGGGATGCCATGCTGGTGTCCAGGGAATGCCACCTTGAAGGGGTAAGCGGGAGGGCAGCCCCCCCTCCAGCCCTGCCTTTGTGCCCGTCGCTGTGTCCGTGCCATTTTGATCCCTGCTGTTTGTTTTGTCCTTTTGTCTTGTGTGTTCTCGGTGTGGTGGTTGGCAGTCGCGGGGTTTATGGACGGAGTGGCTTTGCCTCCTTCTTTAATTCTTCAGCGCCCTCAGCCACTCGGCCTGAGACACAGCCTCTTCTCCCTGCCTCCAGGCGCCCCTCGCCCCCCGGGAGGGACACCTACGGCACCTCCTCGCTGAGCAGCAGCAGCAATTCGGGCTCCTACAAGGGCAGCGACAGCAGCCCCACCCCCA